TTTGGTTCGGTACATCTCCACAAACGAAAGCTGGCATTCCTCAAATGGAATCGTTGATTTGTAATTCGGTACATAAGTTATTTTTTGTATTTGTCTGCGTCTTGTACATCCCTCAATAAATGACCGTCAATTCTTGACTTGACCAATTTGGGCAATTTTGTGTTCTTGTTAATATAGTCTTTCTTCCACGACTTTTGGCGAAATTTCAATACTTGGTAAACTTCTTCTCAACCCGATTTTGAGATATTTTTGCAATGTACGATAGTGAACCACGTATTTTTCTTTTGTGTTGAGAGTAGACACGAGTTTGTTAACCGAGGTTACTAGCTCGTCATTGTCAATAAAAATTTTTTGATAGCTTGAAAGCCATTTTTTGGTACCGACATATTTTTGGGTGCAAGTGGAAAGTCATTGTGTTTGTCATGGTGACGTTGCGGGTAATCCATAGTAATCTCAAACATGTAATCGTAGTCGCCAGTTAGTCGCAATTCTTGGATGTAATAGTACGTAAATTTTTCTAAGTCTGTTTCCCAGGTAAATTCCCTTCCGGCAGATATTTGCTCATCGCCCAGCCATACAAATTTTTCGCGTCCAAACACAAAATGTGTGATTGTGGTTGATTGGGTTCATAATAAGGTAGTTTTGGATTATTAGCCTTTGCATATCGTTTGGCTCCTACACTTGAAATACCTCCTCTTTTTGCCCGCTCAAAAAATAGGTGTTGATCAATGTCTGTCAGTAATTCCAATTTTATATCCGAGTGTTTTAGGAGAGCAACGCAAGAAAGTCCAGGTGCTGTGTAATAGTTAGCCGGGTCAAGGCCGTAGTTCTTTAATTTTTACAGCCAAATGTTTTCCAGACTGTTTCCGCGCGGGTATGTTCTTGTTCAGTTATGGCGGATTGTCTCAAAAAGCTATAGAAAGCGTCTATAGGCGGGAGTTTTGTTTCTTGAAATCGATCAAATGAGTCTATATACTCGGGTAAATTCCTTTTTTCCAACAATAAATTTGTGTTATTTGGAGACCTTTCATATAGTAAGTTAAAATCATCGGGTGAACAAGTTTTAACCAACCGATCTAGCGAAGCAGCCATGAAATGAAATGAGTCTAAAAACCTGAGTTGGCCAAAAGAAAACGAAATGTAATTTTCAGTATTTTTAGCGATCAACTTGATTGATTTTCCGTAAAATTCGTGGGCGTTTTGTTTGATTAAATGTGCGTCGTATTTTTCTAAATTATGTAAAATCACCGGAATGGATGTTTGATTGGCCACGATTCTTAACTTGAGATTACACCTGGCATGCGCGGGGCCTCGGTATTTTCTTGTCACGTGACAATGATCTCTGACCTTTCTAAAATTGTTGATGGGCTTCTCGCAATCTAAACATATCCATTCTCTGAACCCAGCTTCATTTTTATGAGCAATTTTGCCTACATTTGGAATATCACACTGGCATTGAGATTCTTCCATTTTCTTGTCTTTCAACTTTTCGCAAATCCAACAGTGATTAAAATTTTCGTAGATTTTTTGTAACTCGGGTGAGCAAATCAACTTCGCTTTGTTTCTAAACGTTTTGTTTTTCTCGGTTGCTTCCTCAGAGAGCGATTGAACAAAGTCGACAGATGAATCTTGACCTCTGTACGTCTTTTGGCTTGTACAAACTCCATCACATCTGACAACCGCGTATGAGTAGCCGCAGGGTTTGTGAATCTGTGTTTTGACTGTGCTCGCTTCCCTCGCTGCTGGCGGCAATTTTTCTAAAACAGACTCAAAATCGGCGTAAATGACAAAAGGCGCGTCTTGTTTATATTTGTAATTTTTAAATTGTAAAATGTTTTCGCCTTCGGCCGACAACTTGACCGTAGATGTGGGAACGTTTAAGCCTTGACAATCTTCTTTGTGTCTGGTTAACTTTTCTTCCGTTTGGAAATGCGACATGCAATTGAAACACCAGTGTTTTTGGCCGTCGTGTTCATCGATATCGCCCGTTAACCTAAAAAGATTTTTAATCAAACAGTAGTGATTTTCTTCACCTTTGTTATTTTGATCGGTTCTTCTGGGCGCTTGCTTTTGTAAAGAATGTAAAGATCGTCTTTTTTGGTGTAACCAAGCACATTGATTGCCAAGTTATTTTGCAATTCGATACGTGGGATTTGTGAAATCAGTGTTGGAAAGCTTACGTTTGTAAATCTAAACCATCTGATTCTGACCTGTAAGTTGAAGGCCGCTCTTTAATTATTTTGTATTTTGGATTTGTTTCTAACTGGCTTTTGACGTTGTCAGAATATAATTTTAAAGCAACGCCCATCGGATACATTCTTGATCTGTATTTTTGACATTTATGATTGATTTTTTGTCTTCCAATACTTTAGGCAACGGAATGTAAGAAGAACCCACTGGGTTATATTTAACCACTTTGATGTAAAAGCGACAACTTTGTCAAAGATCCAACCCGAGCTTTTTTGTCTATCAGCCTCCACCTCTTTTATTTGTTTTTCCTTCTGTTCAGTCAGTTCGTTTTTAACGTCGACTTTATTTGCGACTGTATCGTTGTCGCTTGGAAAGGGAAAAGTGCCGAATTCAGTTTTTACGGGTTTTTCCAATCTAAACTGAACTTTGATATTTGTTTGAAATTTGTAAGAACCAATTTCTTTTAGTTCTTCCAACGCTTTCTTCTCTATAAAATACTTGTAAAAATCAAAAAAGTGTATCAAATCGTATTCAAAGAAGCGAGGTATCAATTCTCAATTGCGGAAATTGCCTTGGAAACGATTGATGCTTTTGATATCTACTTCTGCGAGTTCCTCAGGCTGAGTGTAAGCTTTGATCGCATCGATAAGGTCTTGCTTAACGTATCGGGATTTCGGTGCATAAGGAATATTATATTTTTGAACCATTCTCAACAGTTGCCGATATGACTGACGCGGAAGCGGTACTTAAATTGTTTCTGGCCTGTCCGTATAGCTTCTATGAGTTCAAATCTTGCATGGAGTTTACGTTTGGGAGGCGGTAGCGGGACGTTATACTGCTTGACAAAATCTTCTAAAAACGCCTTCTTAAACCGAAAAAAAGGTTTTTAGAAGAGGCCTGTGTTGTGGGTTGCTCGTGTCTATATTTTTATATAGGTTTCTACAATTTTTTTCGTTTTTTATCGACATGTTTTTTTAAATACTATTATTTTTATATATAGGGGGGTTTATTTAAGACGGTTGTAAACACAGCACATTTTGCTTTGAACAGAGCCGGGCTTTAAATAGAAGTGAAGGGGAAGTGTCTTTTTTGTTTGAGAGTGATTGTTTGTGCGATCGGCGCACGTCACGAGTTGTTTACAAGAAAAAGGGGGCCAGGGTCAAAAGGTCAAGGTAAATCCCCGGCGCGGGTGGGTGAAAGGGTATGTTTGGCTCAGAAGGTGTATATTTACCTGGTATTTTAGAGCTGATTTGGGGGTCGATGAGGTATCCAGGGAAAATTGTTGAAATATGAAATTTCAGATTTTTAGGGGATTTCCCCGATTTTTTGAGTCGATGTACTACCCAGGGGTTTTGAGGAAAAAAGGGTGAAAAGGGAGGCGCGCTCCAGAACTGTCCTTTCCCTACTTGCGCAGTGGTATTTTTAACTTTGACCCTTGATCGTTTCACATGCACATGTGCTTGTTCGACCGATCCACCATGCCTGACTCTCATTTTAGCAGTAGAGCTAGAAGATGTATTCGTTTTTGCAGTTGCACCGAACTCCACTTGAAAGAAGGAATAATATCCTGATATCGGTTAAGTGACGTGTATATGAAATAATACCATTTTTGTTACATCGACAACTTAGTTACTCTAGACATAACTTTACTCGTTAACGGCCTGACTTTAGGTCTATAGCCTATGTGATATTTCTGTCTGTCCCTGCACGATATCCCACAGAACAGAAAGTAAATAACAAATTATTTACAATGTTTGATTCCTTAATAGTTTTCACAAGAGACGGACTAATTCAATATTATTTTGAGGGCGGGTATACCTTTGATGAAATCTGCTGTATACTCCAAATTAGACATGACTAGAGTTGCAGGAACTTGAAGGCTCACAGAGATC